ATGAGTTCCTACTGAGAGCGTGGAGCCTGCTTGGGATTCTCTATCTGCCCTTCCCCCATGCATACACTCTCTCATGCATGTGCTCTCTCTCTCAAAATAAGTAAGTAAACTTAAAAAACATAAATAAATAAAAGATAGGTTCATTAATACTCAGTTGCCTAGGTAGACAGGTGATTTTTTTTTATCTCAGTGCTTTGAAAGTATTATTTCATTTTCTCCTGGTTTCCATTATTACCATTACAGGTCACATTCAGAGGAATTCATTCCTTTGGAAATAATCTACTTCCATGGGTCAGACATCCAACCACAGTGCAGTTTAGCTGATTTCTCTGCCCCAGACCTCAGCCAACCGAAACCAAGACATTAGCAAGGCTGCTTCCCTTGCTTGAGGCTCTGGGGGAGAACCCACTCTGAGCTCGTTCAGGTCATCCGCTGCTAAATTCTGTTCCATGCAGTTGCATAGAGCTGAACTCCCCCTTTCCTTGCTGGCTTTCAGCTGGTCAAGGGCTGCCCTTGGCTCCCAGAAGCCTCCCACTGGCTCTTGGATTTGGTCCCCACATCTCAGAGCCAACAAAGGCATGTAATCCTGCTCAGACTGGGGTCTCTCTGACTTCATCTTGGTCGCTGGGGTGTCTCTTCCACCCCATCTGTTTGACTCCAGGCAGAGGAAGTTGGTTTTAAGATCTTAGGTGATTACATGGGGCCACCTCAGTTAACCCAAGATCATCTCCCTTACTTACATTGCCACATGATATGACATTCCATCAGGGATCACTGTGTGGGCATATGGAGATGAGTTTATTTTAATTTTTTTTTAATCTTTATTTATTTTTGAGAGAGAGAGGCAGAGCTCAAGTTGGGGAGGGGCAGAGAGAGAGAGGGAGACACAGAATCTGAAGCAAGCTCTAGGCTCTGAGTTGTCAGCACAGAGCCTGATGTGGGACTCGAGCTCACCAACAGCAAGATCATGACCTAAGTGGAAGACAGACGCTTAACTGACTGAACCACCCAGGTGCCCCAGAGATGAGCTTACTGATGTTTGTTTCATTTTGTTTTGTAAGCCCTTGTTTCTTACAACTTTATCTCTGGGCATTCTTGGTTTAAAGCCTTTCATAAGTTTGCTAAGGCAATGAGCAAATCTTTTACAGGGCAATTCCTTTTTCTTCTCTGGTTTGCATTGCATTGACCAGCAGGAGCTGACCGCATCTGAGCCTGGACATCAGCTCCAGGCTCCCACCCTTCTCCAGCTTCTCACTGTTGCTGTGGGTCAGGTCGCCACCTCTCTCTAATTGTCACCAACCATACCCTCACTCAGACGTTCAGGAAGACATATTTACTTAGAAAAAAATACCAACCTACCCCAGTCCCAGAAATAAATAAAACCCTGCAATTTGTAAAACCCTAAGCCCCAGCAGTGAGATCTTCACAAACCTAACCTGACCTCTACTTTTGTCTTTTTCTGTTTTTGTCATCACCCTCCCAAAGGGAATGAGTTTAAGGAGAAAGAAAAAAGAAGGCCAACTTTCATTCCATGTAAACAGGAAGTGAAAAAGGCATAGATCTGTTAAAACAGTATGTTTACATTTTTAACTTACCCTCCAAGTGACTTTTTAAAAACTTGATATTTTTTTCAACTAGATTAAAATTTTCATTTTTTGTCGGTAGTTCTTATATATCCTGATACTTCTCTCCGTTTAACAAAATTGTTTGGATCAATTTAATACAGGGAAGATAAAACACGGGATAATTTTAAAAGATGAAGCTAAAAATGAAAGTTTAAAGTGAAATATGTATCTTCTTTAAGTGTGACAATGTCTTTTTATGTCATTTGACTCTGTATCAAGTTGTATGTCAACTTTTTAAAATATTGCAATGCCTATTAATAGAGGTTTTTAATATTTAAAAGCAAAAGTTAAAAACCTTTATTTCTGTTTTAGACATTCCAAGTCAGGGTAATAAAAAAAAGTCAGGGTTTTTTTTTATTACCCTGACTTGGAATGTCTAAAATACTTTCATCTTTAGGTTCCTTGAAATCTTTTCCTTTGTTGAATAAGTATTTATTAAGAGCCTATTATTAAGAGCCTGTTGGGTTATTTAGTAACATTAATAACGGTTATTAAGAACACTTTATTAGCCACAGGAGAAACAGATATGAGTAAATCAATAAAGTTCCTGTTCCCATGGAACTCAAGTTCTGCTGGAAGAGACCAAAAAAAAATGTCAAAATAATGGATAGTATAGTATCAGGGAGTTTCAAGTGTTCTGAAGGAAATGATAATGCAGGGGACAGCGGTTAGATAGAGTGGGGACGTTTGAAGCAAGGTGGCTAATGAATGCCTGGTAAGGAGGTGACCTGAGCAGGTACCTGAACGGAGGAAGTAAGTCCCATGCCTATCTTACCTAAGAACAAACCTCCAGTGTATTTTATCACTCCCAGAGAATGCAGATCTAAAGACCCAACTTGTGAAATAACAAACAGTAGAAAAGCAGACCTAAAACATTTTAGAAATATAAAAATCAACTGCCTGTTTTGGCATTACAAGTCGTGGGACTCAAAAATCCCATAGACATAAACACTCAATCATATGGATCTCTGCCAAGGAAGAGTACAAATCCTTACCAAGCAAGCCACATGCACAGATAAGAACTCATACTACCAACTAGCTGTTAATAGGAAAAACAGAAATATATATGCTTAGGTCATTAACTGCTAGAAATCAAATTTTCTTCAGGGTTTTGACTGGGTTCTGACCATCTGCAAAAGTGAAAACTTAGGAGGAAAAAATCTAGGTGATTAAACATGAAACAATGAAAGGAAGTCTCTGCCTGCCTCCCGGACCCTGGAATGGAGTGAGTTCTGCTCCTTGCACAGAAGAGTTTCCACAAACCCGACTCATCTGTTCCCCCCACTGGGTTTGTTGTTTTAGGGCCAATGTGCTCCATGTAACTCTTTATAAAAATGTATCCATTTTTGAAATTAATATTTATTGAGTCAAACGGCCTACAGTAACACAAAAAGTGTACCTAAAAATACATATAGAAATGAAAGAATCATACTCTTTTTATAAGAATTTAGTAATATTTCAAGATACTTTCATCTGGATTATATATTTTCCAATGTTAGATGGTCATTTAATTTTCTGTTTTTATAAATTTGGTCCACAAATATCAAAAAGTAAAGGTAATATGAAAATGTGGGCCCTTTCTCTTTTCTTAAGCAAAAATGGATATTTTATTTACTCAGTTATATGGGAATAAACCTTAACAAGAATATTATACAGATGAGTCTTCACATTTGCTCAGTGAAATCTCTAAATTTTCTATAACATTCTATTAGTCTCCTTTAGGGTGTCCACGTTTTAACTTCCAGTAAGCTTCCAGTTAATGTAAATCTATGAACATTAAGAAAATGAGCCGAAGCAACAAAAATTAATATGGGGTAAACTTAATGTTATTTTTTCCCTCAGATGTTCCTAGGCTATGACAGACTTTGGAAAGATGATTACTGCTCCTTAAGAATTACAGTCTAGCAGCACCTGGGTGGCTCAGTCAGTTAAGTGTCTGACTTTGGCTCAAGTCATGATCTCATGGTTCGTGGGTTCGAGCCCCTCGTTAGGCTCTGTGCTGACTGCCAGCTCAGAGCCTGGAGCCTGTTTCAGATTCTGTATCTCCCTCTCTCTCTGACCCTCCCCTGCTCACGCTGTCTCTCTCTCTCAGAAATAAATAAAACATTAAAAAAATTTTTTTCTTTAAGAATTAGAGTCTAATGACAACTAGGGCAAATGCAAGTGTTAATGCCTGATTTAATCCAAGAGTGAGGAAACCAGATCTGAATGAAGTTTAGTGCAGTTAAGTGCATTCTGGCACTTTGACTTTTACTTCCAAAGGTTTCCGAATGCTGGAGGATCTGGTCTAAAATAAAGCTAAGAAGGTCTGGTGGGCTCAGTCGTTAATCCTAGGACTTTGGCTCATGTCATGATTTCATGGTTGGTGAGCTCCAGCCCCACATTAGGTGGACAGGAACCCTGCCTCTTTCCCTCTCTCTCTGTCCCCTCGCTCGCTTGCGCCCTCTCTCTCTCTCAAAATAAATAAATGAATGAACGAAGCAAGCTACAACTAATAAAGACTCTTAAAATGTTAACTTATCAACATATCCTGAAAGATTTCATATAATTCTTTCCTATAGTCACACCCACAATATCCCCTGTGTGGATTGTAATGATTCTTCTTTGTTTACACCGTCCTTTTGGCCTTCTTCCTCTCTCCTCTTGATTATTTTCATACTTTCCCACAGAGTTCTTAGACATCTCCATGAAAAAACATTACTGTGATCACTGTACTTTTCATTATAGCGCTTAACTTTCTGTTGCAATTCCATGTTTACACTTAAGTTTCCCTTGCTTGGTTTTAAACAGGCTCCTTCAGTGTGGACATCATCCTATTCATACTTAAATACCAGTTCAAGAGTAATACAAATTAAGTACAAATTATATTTTAGGTAGCTATTTATGAAATGAAGTAAATAATGTTTCAAAATTAATATGCCAAATGGAGAAAGAAACATGTTAAGAATTTTAATAAATAACTGAGATTTATAAAAATGGGTATTAGATAACATTTAACTGTACTTGAATAGAGCATGGATTTCCAGAGGTCCCACCCGCCTCCGCCTCTCCAATTTGCTGAATAAATCTAGTTGTCAAATGTTGGAAAGCAGTCTCTTTCTCTGTCCTATATAAATTTAACCCAGAGTGCTATCACTAGATTTTGGAATCTTCCTATATATGTCCGTAGGAATTGAAGAAAGAATGAGAAAAGGAGCCTCTTAGCCCAAAAGCAGTTTGGAGGTGACCAAGAGGAAGAAACTTGATAATTTAGCTGAGGAAATGACGAGAAGGAAATTGTTTCGTGTCTCAGGAACCATGTGGAATTCCAAGATAAGAAAAACAGTTGCTAATTTGAGTATAAAAGCAGGAAACATGATACACTTGTTTCCTTTTATGCAAACACAAGTATATGAGGGGTTATGTGTAAATTATTTTTCTCCTGCTGAACCACAAAGACATAGAATCAAAGTGCTTCTCTTGAACATACTGGCTTTTCTTTCTTTTTTTCTTCTATCTCTTCTATTTCTTGTGGATATTATGGCTAATAACACAACAAGTTTAGGGAGTCCATGGCCAGAAAACTTTTGGGGTAAGACATTTTCTTTAACTGTTTTTAATTTAAAACTAGGATGCAGAAAATGTACTGCATAATTTATTGAAATAGTGAAAATCTTTGAGATAGTTTGTTTACCGTAATCTGATTATTTAAGTTTCCATAAGTTTATTATAATAAATATATTCACGTAATGTTTTTAAAGTGGGTTTTGGAGACACTTAAGAAGAATCTGGACAGCAAGTATAGATTTTGGTTGGTGTTACAGAAAATAATTGGAAAATAATGAGAATAAAAATACGAAAATAAAGAGATGGAAGTAATTGTTGTTTAGAATATGATAATGCGGATTTTGTTGGAAAGTTGTTTTATTTGTCTTAAGGTTATAAAGTATATATTTTATTTACTGAAATCAAGAATTGCTGAAGAGGTTATTTTAATTTCGTTGTCAATGCCATCCTCTTTATTTTCCAAAGGAAATTAAAATAACAAGATCTATACTTAAGAAGTGTGATGACATAGATAAAATAAGGAACCTTATTATGAAATTAGAGGAAGAAAAAACTATAATAAGAAAAGTTCATTTGAAATAACATTACATATAACATTAAAAGGAAGCCTATCACAGAGGAAAAAAGAAACAATACAAAAGCACCTTTTGGCGGAGTTCAGACACAGCTACTAGTTAAATATCAGCAACAAAGTAGAGCTAAGGTCAAAATTACCAGTTCTTCAAGGCTAAAGAAGGGAAATGCCAAGGAACAAGGGCTAAGATGTGAATTGACAAGTATTCTTGGATTCAAGGGTGTTTTAAAAAAACAAAGGGGGCAATTTCAGTTAAATTCAGAAAAAAAAAATAAAGGAAACAATGGAGTTTTTGAAGAGATCAATAGCCTTATTTTTTGTCCAGATCAGGTTTTTAATCCTCTCAGAGAACTATTCCATACTTTTTTTTGTGATTCATGGGGATGCTTTGGGAACTATCAGTGAAAACAATCTGCAATGTTGACTGTCCCTAACAATCTCACCTAGCTGTCCCCCATCACACAGATGTGCATGAAGGGAAAGAATTCTTTTTATTGTCTAAATTAAAAAAAAAATTTTTTTTTTTTAACATCAGCCCTTCATGTGTGCTTCAGGCCTGGAAAGGAGAGACATTAGTGAACACCCTAACATAATTATTAAAAAATAAGAAGAATTATGTTTGCGTATTGTTAAGAATGACTTCGGTAATAAGTAATTCTAGGGAAACATCAACAGCCAATAAGCCTTAGAACTGTGGGAGTGTTAATTATATATATTTGTTATAATACTGCTTGCTGTCTTCATTTATAGGAAAAGTGAATGCATTAAACACACACTGAAAAAACAGCTAGACTTTGTTTACGTGAAGTTCTTCATTACAAAAATAACTACAAATTATTTTAAAGTAAAGTAACTCTTACCGCAAAAAGTAATCTGTGAAAGCCAGATCAATTTTTTTCCAGACCATCTGAAGTTAAATTTCAGGTCTACTTAAGTGAAAGAAATCATTAGCCACTGACTAAAACATAAGTAATAATCATAAAATAAGCCTGACTTAAGACAAGGCTTAATTGAAGTCTATTTACCAATCCTAAAAAAACTGATTTTTGTTTTAATATAGATATTTATGATTGAGAAGGAATTCAAACTTACTGTTTCAAAGATAGTTTCTAGTGTTTTTATGTCTTAGGATGTGAATACAATGGAAAATAGATGGAAATAATAAAAACCAGCAAGAGGACTGTTACAATGATAAACATTAACAAAACCAATGCAAATATGCTGAGCAGGTATACTGTTTGATGATTTGGGAAGATATATGAAAGATCACATTATCTCTCCTGAGTTAAAAAATATTAAGTTTAAAATGTAAATTCTCACTGTAAATATACTAAATAGAAATTACCTAAAATAAAAATGTAGACCTTTTAAATTTTATTTTCTTTTTTTATATCTAAATCGTCATCTCTTTTGATCACTGACTCCACAAATATATTATTTTGAGAATCTTATAAAGTACATTACCATGTTTTGTCTATTGTATCCAAAATCAGTTGCCGGCCTAGCATTTCGAATTTAGAGAATAAAGATGGAATTGTTGAGAAATGGAAAACTTGTGCATTGAACCATAGGAATTTCTTGAACTTAACACACTTAAGATGGATGAAAAGTTGTTTTCCAAATAACATTTTTTTTTGGGGGGGGGACTTAAATGAATGCTGAAAGATAAGATAATGATACCAGGTTATTAGCTTGCGTTTTCATAGTAATCATGCACTAGGACTTATTTAATGTTAATGTTGTACAAGCATTACAGTCATTGGTGCAAGAGGAAGAAAAAAACTGGTTTGAGACCGACAGCACAGCCAAAGGCCACGTTGTACGTCTCTCCTTTGCTTTCTTTAATGCATTTCTCTTCTCTGCGAACATTCCCCAGCAAAGCAGCAGGAACCAGAACCTGTAAAATTTGCAGCATCCTGCCTTCCTGAAACAGTAGACATGTAACCTTAAACTTGGGATTCTTTCTCTCCCTCTCTCTCTGCTCCTCCCCCACTTTCTCTCTCTATCTCTCTCAAAATGCGTAAACTTAATTTTTTTAAATGGCATAAATGGACCCAAAATCTTTCTTAGAGAAAAAAACCCTACAATAATATCTTCTATATTCCCTTCTCCTAAATAACAAACAAATGGCATTATATTTCAAATGCATCTCTAATTTATATTTTTAAAACTCTTGGACATGTGTGCATCATTGCACGTGAGCAGCCTACCAATTATTTCCTTTAGCTCCATTACCCTGAGAGCTTGAAAAACAAGTGTTTACAAATTATTGTCTTAAAACTGCTGCATCTGATTTATATAAAGAAATTTGAAAATGCATCTCTCACTGGGCTCCATGATCAGAGATTATGATTCAGTAAGTATGAGCCTAGAAGGCTACACCGTTTAACAGGTCCCTAACCTTAGATTTCCTGCATCTACATTCAAGAGGGAAATTTGCCTAGAATAGTCTTTTCTGGCCATGGCCCTGTCGGGCTTTGTACTAGTGTTAGGCTGGTCTCAGAAAGCAAGTTAGGAAGTGTTTTCTTCTACTGATTCTTCTATGAATTATGGTAGTTTGTGTTTCCTAAAACTTTTCCCATTTAAATTTCCAAATATACTGCCTTAAAGTTGTTCAGGATATTTTCTCATATGTTTTTTCAACATTTTATTATAAAAATATTCAGATGTAGAGAAACATCAAAGTATTTTTACAGTGGATACTCATACACATACCCCTTAGGTTCTAACATTTACTTTTTTACAATACTTATTTTACTCACTAATTTATTCACTTACATTTCAAAGTAGATTGAAAATGTCAGTATGCTTCTTCCATTACTTCAGCATGTATATCATTAATCAGAATTCAATATTTTTAATGTTTTTTCTTTTAAAGTCAAATTTATCTACAGTGAAATGTATAAAATAAATAATATCGAAGTGCACATTGTAACTGAACATTTGCTGAATTTTTTATTTTTTTAATTTTATTAAAACAAATTTTTAAATGCTTTTATGTATTTCTGAGAGAGAGAGAGACAGCGTGAGCAGGGGAGGGTGAGAGAGAGAGGAGACACAGAATCTGAAGCAGGCTTCAGGCTCTGAGCTGTCAGCACAGAGCCTGATGTGGGTCTCGAACCCACAAACCGTGAGATCATGACCTGAGCCAAAGTCAGACGCTTAACTGATTGAGCCACCCAGGCGCCCCACATTTGATGAATTTGTACACACCTGAATGTACACACCTGAGTTACTCTATCCCCAGTCTTGGATATTAAATATTATCACCAACCTGAAAAGTTCCCTAATTCCAATCCCAGTCAGTTCCTGCCTACACCATCTCCAGAAGAAATGTTTATTTTGCTTTTTTCTGGAACAGATTAGCTTTGCCTGTTCTAGAACTTCACACAAATGAAATCATACAGTATTTACTCTTTTGGCTATTAAGTATAGAGCTGTAACAGATATTCTTATAAGAGTCTGTTGTTGATATACGTTTTCATTATTCTTGGTAACTTCCTAGAAGTGGAAGAGCTGGTCAGAGCTTTGATGGAGGTTTGATTTTACAAAAATTGTCAAGCCTTTTTCCAAAGTGGTTACACAATTTATTTTTTCCAACAATGTGTGAGGGGTCCAGTTGGCTTCAGATATTTACCAATAGCTCTCCTTTAGTCTCAACCCTTTACGTTTTAGCCTTTCTGGTCACTATTTAGTTTTATCTTCTCGTGGTTTTAGTTTGTATCTTCCTGATGCCTGATGATGATGAGCAGAGTTTGGCAAAGGATAGCTTAAAGGCTAAATATCATGCATAGCCTGTTTGTATAAATAAAGTTTTATTGGGGTATTTGTTGTGTGTTCATGCTGTTTTGTGCTACAATAACAGAGTTGAGTAGTTTCAGTAATGTATGACCTGAAAAACCTAAAATATTTGTTCCCTGGGCCTTTAAAGAAAAAAAGTTTGCTGATTCCTGACATTGAACATCTTCTCTTGTGCTTAGTGGCCTTTGAATATATATTCTGAAGAAGTGTCTGTTCATTTCTTTGGCCCATTTTTATTTTCTTTATCTTTTTCTTCTTTTCCTCTTCCTCCTTCTTCTTTTTCTTTTTCTTCTTGTCTTTTCATTATTGATGTAAAAAGTCCTTTATATATTCTGGTTATCAGTCAGTTGTCAGATACATATTTGTAAATTTTTTTAAGTTTATTTATTTATTTGAGTGAAAGAGAGGTAGAGACACAGAGAGAGAGAGAGAAGAGTGGAGGAGGGACAGAGAAAGAGGGAAAGAGAGAAACCCCAAACAGACAGAGCTTATGGGGCTTGAAAGATGAAGCTGAAATCAAGAATTCGAAACTTAACCAACTGGGCCACTCAGGCACCCTTGTAAATGTTTTCTACCTGTCTGTGGCTTGCTTAATTATTCTCTAAAGTGTCTTTGCTGAGCAGATTAAAAAATTTTTAAGTCTAATCTGT